GGGGGGTGCCCGGCGGGTGGCCCCCCCGCACATCCCCGGGCCAACCTCTAACGCTCCTCTGCTCTCTCGCAGGCCGCCAGCCCCTCGCCTCCGGCCACTGCTCGGCCCCCAACGCCACCCTCGCTGGACCTGGCAGCGGACCCCCCAGCCAGCACCGCCCGCTCCCCTGGCCAGGGGCAGGATGGGGGGACACAGCCCTGCACAGCCCCCCCGGGGACAGCCAGGCGCCTGCAGCGGGTACGGGATGAGCCCAGCTTTCTGCTCCCGTTTTTCATGTTTCTTGGCGCCGTGCGAGCCCTGCTCTGACCCTGTGCCCCTTCCCCACCCAGGAGGACCTGGCCGGGCTGCGGTGTCGCCTGCGGAGGGTGAAGGCGCTGGCCCAGCTGCCATCCGTCCCCGCCAGGGTCAGCACCGACCTGCAGAGCCGTCTGGAGCACATGCGGCAACTGGAGCTGCGGATCCGTGAGAAGAAAGCGGGAAGCGGAGCCGCGCCGGCAACGCAGCCGTCCGGGGACGCCGGGGCAGCAGCACCTGCGGCGGAGGCCGGGTGAGGAGCAGCTTTGAAGGGTTATCAGGCTGTCCCGGTGGCTGCCACAGCCCTGTTGCGCTGCGCAGCCCCGCAGTGGTTTTGCAGGGGTCTTCCCACCCCCGTGAGGGGGGCCCGAGGTCTGGGGGAGCGCTGACTGGCCCTGCTGCCTGCGAAGGGCTTTGCCGAAGCGAAACTCAAGCGCAGTCCAAGCCACCCTGACTCTGCCATGAGTGTTGGGGCACCCACGTCCCCAGGACATGGAGGGTGGGTGATGTGACCCAGGTATGGGCACAGCTTGCTCAGAGAAGAGTTTTGGGGTGAGGGGAGAAGAGGGGTCTCCCCTAACCAGGGTGGGCACGCAGCTCCTAGGCTCCGAGGTCAGCCCTGTTGGCAGTGGGACCCCTGTCCCAGCCACTCTCGGTCCCCGGTTGCACCCTCGGGGCCACCCCAGCGCTGGGTTGACTGCAGCCTGTGGCTGTTGTGTGTCGGGGGACCCTGACCCCTCTCCTTTCCCGGCAGCGAGAAGCCCCCCGCGTACCAGCGGTTCCACGCCCTCGCGCAGGACCTGCCCCCGGGGCTCACGCTGCCCTACAAGTTCAAGGTGCTGGCGGAGATGTTCCGCAGCATGGACACCATCGCCGGGATGCTCTTCAACCGCGCCGAGACCATCACCTTCGCGAAGGTCAAGCAGGGGGTCCAGGACATGATGCGCAAGTAAGTTGGCAGCAGCGGGGAGCCCATTTCGGGGTCCCAGCTGGAGCTGTCGGGGGCGATGCCCTAGTGTCAGCCCTTGGGGTTCCCGACCTCTCCGGGTGCCGTTGCAGGCAGTTTGAGGAGCGGCACGTGGGGCAGATCAAGGCGGTATACCCCGCCTCGTACAGGCTGCGCCAGGAGAAGAACATCCCCACCTTCGGCAGCAGCGTGAAGAAGTCTGACTACCAGCTCACGCTGGAGCCGGTGCTGGGGGAAGGTGCGTACGGCTCAGGGGGACCCCGAGAGCTGGGGCGTGCTGGGTCCTGGCTGGGATCCCTGAATCCCCAGGGATGCTCTCCGCTTGGTCCGTTAGATAATTATCTGACGCGTAACGGCGTGTTGGAAGTGGAAAAAACACTTTTGGGGTGAGCGGGAGGGTGATAGAGCAGTGACTGGCAGCGACTCAGCCCCGCGGCGGGGCTCTGATCCTGTCCTTCTCGAGGTTTGGGTCCCATCGCGGCGTTGCCGCGCTTTGCCGAGATGCCCCGGGTGACGCTGGTGTCTCTCCTTGCAGAGGAGAAAGTGGATGGCCGCCCGCACTTGTCGGCGTCGCGCTTGCTGGAGCGCAGGAAGGAGTTCAACCGCAACCTGGTGAACATCGTCAAGCAGCACCACAAGGTGAGGACCCCCCGCACCCTCTGCTTTTGGGGGCTGGGGTTGCTCTGGTCCCTATGTAGGGAAGCGGGTGGAAGGAGCGGGCTGGCATCCAGGCTGACTGACATCGCTGGTTCCCGTGGGATGCTCTTGGCAGGCAGGTGTGGAGGGGGAGGATGGCAGCTGGAATCTCTCCTGGCTCTGAATTTCCTCCAAGCCATGCTGGGAGCGTGGGGCAATGGCCAGCTCCCCCATACCTGGCCCGCAGGCACCGTGACACCTCTCGCTGTCGTGGCCGCTCTCAGCCCTCCCATGGTGGTGCCGGAGGAGAAGCTGACCCGCTGGCATCCCCGCTTTAATGTGGACGAGGTGCCGGACATCAGCCCGGCGGAGCTGCCGCGGCCGCCCCAGGAGGACAGGCTCACCACGGCCCAGGAGGTGCTGAGCACGGCTCGGGGGATGCTGACCCCCAAGGTGAGTTGGGACCGGGGTCTGGCTCCGTCTGCGGCTGGCAGACCTCAAACCAGCCGTCTCTCCGGGAAGATGTTACCGGATAGCGGTTGGGAAGGATCGTTTCAGAGCCACAGGACTCGGAGCACTGTAAGATGGAGGCAGGTGGGAATGCGAGCCTGGCTGTTGCTGCTGCAGGTTGTGGTGTAGGACTGGGTTCAGGCTGGAGGAGCCGTCAGTGGGGCTGGAAGCGGAGCTGAAGCACCCCAAGCTGTCCTCCATGCGGGCCGGGATGGGTCGGGCAGGGACGGGTCAGGCGTGCTGGGCTGCAGGGTAGCGGCGGGGGCGGCAGAGGGGAAATTTCTCCTTCCTCCAGCGCGAGCGGCTCCCAGCTGTAACCCAACTCCTCCTCCCTCTTCCACATGAGCAGATGGAAAAAGCTCTTGCCAACCTGGCCGTAAGAACCGCTGAAGCCGGTGTGGGGGAACCGGTGGTTTCCAAAGCACCGTCCCCTGCCAGCACCTCCAGTGCTCTGAAAGGGGTCTCCCAGGCGCTGCTCGAGAGGGTGAGTAATTCGGTCCTGGCCCTAACCCCAGTGCCGGGGGGACCTGCCCGTGTCTCACCCCATCTTCTCTGCTCCCCAAGATCCGGGCGAAGGAGGCGCAGAAGCTGCAGGCGCTGATGACGCGGGACCCGCGGCAGGAGGAGCGGCTCGCCATGCTGGGGCGGCTGCCGGCCATGGCCCGCATCCTGCGCAACGTCTTCGTGGCCGAGAAGAAACAGGCGCTGACCATGGAGGTGGCTTGTGCCCGCATGGCCGACAGCTACGACGCGCAGATGCCTCCCGGTAGGAAAGCTGGGGGGTCTCCTCGCCCGCGCGGGAGGGTCTTTGCGGGAGGAAGGGGCTGAGCTCTGACCCGGTGGCTGCCGCTTCTTTTTTTGCAGGCGAGATGGAGAAACACTTGCGCCTCTTCGCAGAGCTGCTGCCCGACTGGGTGGGGATCCACGCCATCAGGACGGACACCTACATCAAACTGGACAAAGGGAAGGACCTCAGCCTCATCACGGAGAGGCTCACCAAGGCGGCAAAGGAGGCAGAAGCCCTGTGAGCCCCCCAAGGGTCGAGGCTTCCCCTGTGCAATCTCCTCTAAATGTAGCAAATCCCGACTGCGCACCAGGATCCGGTGTGGGCTGACGGGAAGCTCGTCCTCAGGGATGTCTGAGGAAGAGCAAAACGCCTTAATTTAACTAATTCCTCTGCCCCGGGGCCCATGAGGACTGTAGTTCCCCTAACCCTTGAGCTGAAGGCAGGCAATCCTGCGATTGCGAGTGGTAAAGAGGAGCTCGTAGCCTCTTCTCGGCTTTGCTGCGTTCTCCTGAAGGTTTCTTCCATTAACTGGGCCCTGGTGGGGTGGAGGCAGGACTGGGCAGGGTGAGAGGGTGACAGGCAGGGAAGGAGTGAGAGAAGAAGTCACAAATTGGTGTTTTTGGAGCTCTGGGCCTCGTTTCTGTTTTTAAGGGAGGGAAAACGCATCTCCAGCACTCGCTGGAAACAACTACAGGACTTGTCAAAACATATTTGTATTAAATGTTTTAAATATAGCTGACTTGTGTTAACCCAGCACTCGTCCTCGGTGAGCTGCCTGTCTGCGCCGCGTTAGCCCCGCGGTTCTCCATGGCAATTGGCGCCGGCCGGCACACGCAGGGAAGGGCTGGGTCGTCATCCAGCTCCTGGAGAAAGACTTACTGGAAAAAGTGAGCGTGGATTTGCAGGGAACTGAATGCAGCTTTTGTAAATAGGGAACTGCGGAGCAGCTCCTGCGGGGACACGAGCAGGCAGGGCTGGGGTGGGCTTTTTCCCAGGGGAAAGGCTGGGTCACTGGGCTGAAGTGGCTTGGGAAGAGGGACAAAGAGGGAGCTGATGGCTGCAGAGCCGGGTCGGGTCAGCGCTCGTGGCAGGGCGGGCAGCGTGGGCGCAGGAGAGGCGGCGGGAGCAGCCCCTGCCCAGTGCCACGTCGGGCACACCTCACACCGCTTTCTGAGCCAAACTGGGCTGCTTTTAGCATGGGACATCGAGGATTTGCATGGAAAGGTCTTTCATCCCTCTGGGTGAGGGACCACGCTGGTCTTGGGGAAGCTTCTCCACCAGCTTTCGGAGGCTGGGATCGAGGGAGCAGGCAGGCACTCCTCCTCCAGGACCCTGCTTGCCATCGTGCAAGCCAGTTGGCCGGCACTGCTGGCAAGAGGTAGCCCTGTTTCCAGGGAGGAGGGTTTAAACCCAGCCTGGAGGTTGGAGGGGTGGAGAGGGCTGGGGTGTGAGGCTGGGCTCTGGGTGCAGGCTGGGCTATCGGAACGGAGCTCACTGCGGAGGAGAGGAGCTGGTTTCCAGAGGAGCTGGTTTCGGCAGCCTGGCAGGCGCGCGCGTGCCCCAGGGGAGCTCGCAGCGAGCTCCTGTTCTGCTGCTTGGGACAAAAAACCTTCCTCCTGCCTGGAAGCCACCCCTGCACAGCCCTGTGCAATGACATCAACGGTTGCTTGCAGCCCGGCCAACGCGAAAGCACTGTCCCCGCGTTCCCTGATGTCACCCCTTGGCCCCGCACGCAGCCAGCTCTGGCACCAGCAGGGCTTACGCTCGCTTCCACAGCGCGCAGCTGCTTTCCACGGCTCTTTGGGGTGGAACTAATTTTTCCCTTCTCTACCTCGCAGCAGGGACCCTCTCCTTGTGCCAAGTATGCGTTCGAGGCGCTGCCTCCCTTGGCTCCGCGCAGGGGCTGGCTGTGAAAACAAGTGCCCTGGGGTAGGTTTCTCCCGGGGGAATGGTGTTTCTCAGCGCAAACCGAGCAGCCACTGAAGTGGCTTTTCAGGAAACGGTGACAAAAATAGCCGTAATAGCCCTTACAAGTGCAAGGGGAGGGTGTGCGGCAGCCCCACGTGCTGGGTGGGGAAGGCGAGCTGAGCTGCGGGGGCTTGGTCTATGCTCCCAGCGGCACTGGGTGCTTCCACTGCAACCCAGCAGGACCAGCTTGGGTACCCCAGTCTGGCTAGAGGTTGGAGAAAAGATACCTGAACTGCTCAGTCCGGGCAAGCGATTCCTTCCAAGCATTTGGGGTGGCGAGGCTCACACCACAGCCTTGCTCTCCTGATGGCCTGCGTTTGGAGGAAGACACTCGCAAGGGTCATTAACGGCTTCGGCTGCAAGAACAGCTCTGAGACAGTTTAGAAAAAATAAGTCGACATTTATTTTAGCAGTGAGTGCAGCCCCTGGTAGGACAGGGACACAGTCCCCAATATTTTCAGGCATGTGAAAGTTTTGGCACACCGAGTTTTAGCTACTCCTGTGACCAAACTGAACCATGCAATAGGGAGCGCCTCATCCATCGCACAACCCGAGCGAGACCGCCGGAGCTCGGCTGCAACTAACACCTTTGCGTTCATCCGACACCAAACATACCAAGAACGGGCTCCGAACTGGCATCGTCTTGTCAACGTGCCGATGCCCCAAGAACACAGCAGGGGGGAGGCAGCAGCAGAGGGAGGCAGGTATGTTGCAGTAGATGGGGAATTTGTGCTAAACAAAAGCTGCCAGCCCTGGCTGGAGCTGCAGGCGTTGGTAGGTGCCAGTGCTGCCGGACAGAAGGCCGGCGAGCAGCCCTGAGCACGTGCCCGGCCCCCTTCCTCGCCGCCTGGCGCCCAGCGGTGTGCTACTCCTCATCACCGCTCCTAGTTTTGCAAAATCCACCGCTAAGAACTACCCTGGACCGAGGGAAGGCAGACGGCTTCCTACAGGAAACCTTCAGCTTCTTACGGTCTCAAGGGAAGGAGACCGTGAGCCAAGCCGCAGGCGGGCATGGCGTTGGAGCTCGTCTACGCCAGCAACCTCCGTTGTGTTGGGTGCCTCCCGCTTGCAGGACACAGGGCTGGGCAGGCACTTAATTCTCCTCAACAAGCACTACCTTAACGTGAGAAAAACCTGTTCCGGTGTGAGCAACAGCAGAGAGCAACCAGACCATCCTCCCAGGTCAAACACAGAGGGGTTTATCCCTTAGACAAATAATCACTTTTTGCCCATCTTTTGTGTTTCTTTGGCAAACTTTTAACAGGTTCCCAGGAGGCTGATGAGGCACGGCTCAACCGAAGGAGAATGCTGGGCCCCCAAAGCTACCAGACCTCTCCTGCCTCAGCAGCAGTATTTTCACTTTGGTCTCCTAAAAAAAAAGAATCAGCGAAGCTGCATCTTGGTCTCCATCCCCCAAAATAATCAGGCTGTTCCTTCTCCCCAAAAGGATGAACTCCCAAAAGGATCCTTACACTCAACACACGTTGATCTGTGGCTTAGAAAATAAACAGGACTTAAAATGGCATAGCATCTGGCCAGGATCAAAATCGTAGGTTCCCCCCCCTGCCCACCCCCTCGTGACATTAAGAGTCACTGCATAAAGCCCAAACTTGTGCACAGCTCCGGGCGTGCGTCCCCTTCTCCCAGCTCCTCCTCAGTCATACTGCAGCAGAGAGTAGAAAGGGATGGACTTGAGCTTTTCCGACCCTTTCAGGAGTTTTAACTCTATGATCACCAGGCACTCCAGGACTTCAGCCTTCAGCCTCTTCAGCAGCTCGCAGGCTGCATGCATGGTACCTGCACGACACAAGAGGTTGAGCAGAAACATCGTCACTCGAGGAGCAGCGCCGAGGGAAGCTTCAAACCCCTCGGCCGCTCCCGCCATCACCAAGGCAGGCGTACATGGGTTACACGTGCTCTAACACCGTCTGCTTCTCTCACCTCCAGTTGCAAGCAAGTCATCTACAATAACTACTTTTTGTCCCGGTTCCACGGCGTCGCTCTGGATTTCAAGTTCAGCCTGCAGGGTGGAAAGAGTAGCTTCATTTTAGTCTTGCCTTACAGAGAAACACTTTGCAAACTGCTAACACACGGTGGAATGCAGACAAGTCTTCAGCGAGATCAACCTTAACACTCAGCACCTAAAAGCCCCAAAACACATACTCCAGCTACAGCGGAGTGCCACGGAAATATATAGCGGGTTAGGTGATTGCTGGGCCAACCCTCTGGCACGTCAAGATCCTGAACATTCATCAAGTGAGTTATGGTCCCATCATGAAACCTCATCCCGAAACAGTTCTCCAGTGGGGAAAAGCTCCTGTAAGGCGCTGGGCTGGAGTGCTCTGCCTTGACGGCTCCACCAAGCCAGATCCAAGCCATTGCAGGCACGTCCTGTGCGAGATGAGCTTGTCCCATGCTGGGGTTGGCCCAACCAATCCTCATAAATAACGCCTGGGTTTGGCGTTTCTGCTGCCGGTCCCTGGCTGCTGTTAGTTACCAGCGGTAGCGTGTTATTAGGCTTACACCTCTGCTCTTTAATCAGAGAGGCTGTGGTGTTAGGAGGTGAGCGCTCTGTTTTGAAGCCATGCAATAAAGGCGTTTACTTATAGCACTTACTGGAAGAGCAACACCGGGAAACATACTCCATGTTCATGCCCCTGAATTCAAGCCAAAGAAAGCAATTTAGCACCAAGTCTTATCAGCTCCCACAAAAATCACAGCTCACCGACACAAGCCACACATTCGTGGTTCAGGGAGGGAGCCACCGTGCTGGGGTATGGTGAAGCTCAGCGCCTGGCTCCTGAAGCTTGTGCCGTGCCAGGTTGCCCGTGGCATCAGCGCCGGCTGCGAAACCCAGCTTGGGGACCACCCCGCTGGTTTTATCATCCCGTCCCTTCGCTGACACCCACCCCGGCCCTCCATCCACCAGCCTGGAAACCCTCTTCTCCTCCCCAGGCATTACCTTGCCATACTCGAGGGCGTAGGAGACCGACTCGGTCGGGCCGGGAAGCTTCCCTTTCTTCCGTATCAGCACGAAGCCGATCCCCAGTCTCTGAGCCAGGGGGGGGCCTATGAGGAAGCCGCGGGAGTCCAGGCCTGGGGGAGCAGAGCAGCACAAACACTCAGAATGGCGCTGTTCGACTGGGGGTGTCTTTGCACGATACCCCAGGTTTATACTCCTGTGCTCGGGGGGGGCTCTAGAAGCAATTTGCTCTTACAGTCATTTCTATGGGTTGAAAAAGCCCACCACGCTCCCGCACTGCCTGTGCTGGC